CTTGGATTTATCCAATGAAATGAACATGTCCTCTCTTCAATATAGCATAAAATAGATTTTCCACACCAGTGCCTTTGAGAAATGCACAAAATTGCCTGAAGAGAAAAGTATATCATGACTGCCACCTTGTGTTTTTTTGTATTATTAGTCCTCAGCAATCATATATTTTAATACTGCAGCAATTTTTAAAATATACTGGCTTTTACCCTCAGCATTATCTAAAATTCTCTAAGTTGAAAGGAAAATTATGAATTAATTTCTTGGTACCCAATTACTGGCTAGTTAGGTCTTGAAATCAAGAAAAGAACTCATAAAAGATCTAATCACAAGTGTACTTATATGTTTACTACCAATTTTTAAAATGGAAATAGAAAACTGAGCTTAAATTAGATGTGCTAAATAGCTTATGAAATACTCAAGAGTGGAAATATATACTTCTGTTTAAAATATAGAATTTTTTTTCCATAATTACACTTTATATTTCTGTTCCTTTGAAAGGTTGCTCACAGTAGGAAGTTTCTAAAACCCTGGAACTTGGCATCAAATATCCTACTCCTAATACTTAGCCATGTGACCTTTAGCTGGCAACAAACTTACTCTGTATACCACCTCCATTATCTATCCAATGGGGATGAGCTCAAGAGTACACACCTCCCCAAGCTGCTGTGTTGATTGATGATAGCTCAAGCGATCTTCATCAATTGGGAAGGATGATCAATAACTGATAACTCTTTTTCTGTAGCCAAAATTAGAATGCCTGAGCCAAATTAGCTGTATTGCTAAGAATCAGCAATTGATATTATTGATAATATTGCTAGAAATCAGCCCTTCCTCATCAAAGTGTTCCCACTGCCCCCCACGCCAAGTACTGATTCCCCCACCCTTTCACTCCTGCTTCTTACTGCCAACATCCTGACATCTTAGCTACTGATGACCATGAAGGACAACTTTTTGCTGAACATGGGGGCCTTTAAATGGTGAATTAGCAGCACATCAAAATTACTCTGGTTCTCTCCTTTTTGAATAGGTGTTGTTTGCCGCTGCATTATTATTACATTATTATTATTATTATTACATATCAGGCAGGTGGAGAGCAGATTCTTAGTTCATGAAGAAATGCCACTTCTCAGCCCTGAAATAGACTCCCCTATCAGTACATCACTCACAAAGTCTGAATTCAGGACCTAAAACCATGGTGGAATGGAATTCTTAGGTTATCACTCTTGAAAAGGAGGTGAGTATGTTTCATACACATGAGGGTGAACAGATTATTTGATGTCCAAAGAGTGGATTTGAGGAGTCATTGGTGCTTTTCTCCAAAGTTAGTGGTGGTCATGTGACTAGTACAGGATCTGAACCAAAATGATGTGTCCCTTCAGAGTGGAAGCCTTATGTTTCAGTACATGATTCACCACTTTCTCCATCCCCTCCCTTGTTGATGTTGGAAGTATGAGTCAAGATTTTTCCTGCAATGGTCTGGATGCCCAGAGTATAAACCCCTCAATAAAGAGCACAGCCCTCCATAAGCATATAGTTTCAACAAAAATAAACTTTTGTTGTACTAATGCACCTAAATGTTGGGGTTTTTTCAGCATCACTGAGCCTATGCCATCACAGAAAATGATAGCTGCACATTGATCCCCTGATCAGCATCCTGCTCTCCCTGTTCTTGATCCCCAGAAAACCCAATGGAAGTCTTTTCCCTTAGTATTTCAATTCCCATCAGAGACACAGGCTAAAGTTCCATGATGACAATGCAGGAATAGCCAGGAAAGAAGAGCACAAAGCCTCTGAAGCCAATCTGTCTGGCTAACTTGGGGCTGTACCACTTAGTAATTAACTCTTGGGTCTGGTGATTTACATTACCTGTGTAAAACTAGGGCAATGGTGTTCACCTGTTCCAGTTACTGTACCTATATAAGAAACTACCCCAAACTTAACACTATCACTGACCACTTATTATATGCATAATGGCTTCTCTGCTCCCCATGCTTGGGGGCTCAGGTGAGAGACTTAAAGACTAGCAGCTGGAACCTTCTAGAGGCTTTATCACAAGTCTGGTGGTAGTTGTTAACAGTTGACCTTCACTCAAACTCTTGTACCCGGCCTTTCCATGAGGCCAATGCTTCCTTGTAACATGTACAAAGAGAAAGCAGAAGCCAAGTCACTTAATGGTGTGTGTGTGTGTGTGTGTGTGTGTGTGTTTCCACGCGTGCATGTGCTGTGAGGGGGTGTTTAACCAGGAACTGAACCCAGGAGCCCTTAACCACTGAGCCACATCCCCAGCCCCCAGCCCTTTTTTTTTTTTTGAGACAGGGCCTGGAAAAGTTGTTAAGGCTGGCTTTGAACTTGTGATCCTCCTGCCTCGGCTTCCCAAGCTGCTAGGATTACAGGCATGCACCACTACTCCTGCCCCAAATCACTTTTTGTCACCCAGCATCACTTCCACCAAATTCTGCTACTCAAAACAACCATAAAATCCTGCCAGGCTCATAGAGAGTGTAAGTAGACTGCTTATTTAGAGAATAGCAAGGCTTGAGTAGGGTACATGGGATCAGGAATACTGCAGTGGCCACTTTTAAAGAAAATCAAAGCTGCCACACTTGCAGTTAAGGTTGAGAAGACCGACAGAATAATTTGCTTAGGACGGTGAATGCGTATGTGCTGGGCGATAGAGCTTCACACACTACACATGGCTAGTCTCTGTAACCACCTCCCTGTCAGCTTTCACTCTACTTCTTCACAGCCAGGTTTCCCTTCCATGGTAATGCAAAGGACCCCTTAGCACAGACCCCAGACCAAACCAAGGCAACCCCCAAACAGGAGGAATTACGGAGTACGGTTGGCCCCTGTGGCTTCAACAAGATCTATTCATACAACAATCTTGACACAAGGAAACTTTCCACAAAGAGGGCGTCATCTGTGGGAAGGCTCACAGGCTCAGGATAAGCTAGCTTCTTTCTATATTTTTTCCTTATAAAAGACTTAAGATACTTTCAAGTTGTGTGTTATCCAAGATAATTGATCCACACATGCACAATGGTGTCTTTTTAGCAAGAGATCTGCAAGGATGTGTTAGAACTCTTTAAAAAGTAGTGATAGGATATTCTGTGGTTTCTATTTCTTGGTGCTGAGGGTTGGACGCAGGTCCTTGTGCTCTGCATGTGCTCCACCACTGAGTTATACACCCAGCCCACATTCACTTTCTTAAAAAATAAAAGTATAAAAAGACTGTCAAACTATATGATATCTTTTTTAGAGCAGATATTAGATCAAAGTGAGAGGAACTTCAAGCAGCAGGCTGTTTTATTATAAAGTGCTCATGAGGCAGAAATGACAGGATCACATCAGCTGTTCTTTTAGTTCACTCCTCAAAAACAATTTTTTGTTAGTGGTGCTGTGTGTATTAGATGCCATGTGCCTCCTCATCACTGAATTACCAAGACCAGAATGGTCCAGGAAAACAGGCTTGGCCAATCTGAAAGCGGCTGAGTTACAAGAACATGCCCCAGAGACTGCCACTTTTAGCCACTTTATAATGTGTGCCAAGAACCTTAAATGGGCCGGGCGCAGTGGGGTATACCTATGATTGCAGTGGCATAGGAGGCTGGGACAGGAGGATTACGAGTTCAAAGCCAGCCTCAGCAAAAGCGAGGCACTAAGCAACTCAGTGAGACCCTGTCTCTAAATACAAAACAGGGGATGTGGCTCAGTGGTCAAGTGCCCCACGGTACCCCCGCCACCTGCAAATAAAAAAAAAGAAAAAAAAACTTACATGGATCTTAAGTGTAGCTTGAAATCTAGCAAGTTGCTGCCAGTTTGATGATATGAAATTGGCTTAACTAAGTATCTCAACCACCAAATTTCTGGGTGGTACCTGAATATTCCAGATCTCACAGTCACTAAAGTTAAAAATGTGAAGTCAAACCCCACAACCTTACAAACTGGCAGTTCATGGTTTACGCCATACTTAATCTTGCAATGTACATTGTGTTATCATTATCAACCAAGTTTCCCAAGCATTCTTAACACCACTTAGCTTGGCTGGGTGACACTTTACCAGGAATACATACCCAGAGACAAATCATGCTGTATTTAAACAATTTATGCACCTACACATACAAGACAATCATTAAAAGTCATCCAATATTAGTGACATTCTTTAGATTCTTGGAAGCATTTCTAAATTATAGATGAAGGCCTACAGCTAACATCAATTCCTCATCTTCCAACCTACTAAATTTCTGGCTTACCCATTTTTCCCATCAATCATTCTTATATTTACCTGTGTACCAACCCTTCCCTTTTCAAAAGTCTTTAATAGCTAAATTCACCTTTCTTATGTATTTGAATACGCTATCTTGAAAAAACCAGTGAGCATTCAAACAAAAAATCTACCTTTCATTAAATGTTTCTGAATTTCCTATTTCTCCAACTAGGAGAAACCTACTTTTGTTCCTTTTATTGGAAATGCACAGCTTGGGTTATTGCTCTGGAACAGGGACCGAGGTCTGTTTATAAAGTTTTAATAGAATGCAGCCATGCCCATTAGTTTATATATTGTCTATGTAACCACTTTGGTACAACAGTAGAGCTGAACAATCACACCAAAGGTCACTTCATTTAAAAGTTTGACCTCAGTTCTGGAAAAATAGTCTCCAGGAGGGTCAATGGCTCAACCTACAAAAGAAAAAACTGAATCACTATATTACACAATAGAATGGTCCCAAACTCCTATAAAGGATTCACATCTCCAGCCTACTGTAAGGAATGTGGGCAGAACTAAGAGGGCAATCACAAGAGGACCACACTAAGATGAGACAAGGACTGGGAGACCACATGTGCATGAGGCCCAAACATCTTCCAAATAGTTCTTGTAGATATCAGACCATTCCCTCTTGGCCTAGCTCACTGTATCCTCCTTACTGTGATATGGCACAGCTATTCCATTTCTAGTTACCTCTAATGATAGAACTGTAGGAATACAAATGAGTAGAACGAAGTTTTAGGTATGACTTTTATTTTTTTCATGCCCAAGTAGGCCTAAGTGGTTGACTTTCACTGCTCCCCTGACTGTCTCCAGTGCCTCTACACCCCAAGAAGAAACATCTACTTTCACTTCACAGCTTGGAGAGTGCCTACTCTTTGGCAGCTGACTTATAATGGCTCAGAGTGCGAGCGGAAGGGTCAGTGGCATTGATCCACTTGGGCATCCAGTAATGGGTCAGCCAGTCAGCCCGGCCTGGATAGTGTTGTTCAAAGATTTGACGGTAATAATAGCCTTCTTTAGTTTGAGGAGTGTTGAAGGGGAATTTTTGGGCTGCAGCTGCCATCATCGCATCGTCAACCTGTAAGAATAAGAGTGTAAGAGCAGAACAGCCTTTTAAATGGCATGGAAATACCTGTGTTTGCTGTTACCACAAAACCAAAATAAAGAGAAAGCATGACAATAAATTGTACACACATCACTTGGAAAATGCTTCAATATCCATAACATGCACAGCTATAGTTAACTTTCAAAAAGTATTCACATGCATATTTCTAATACTTAGAGGTTATTTTATTCACTTGTGTCTAATGTCTGTAAGTATCCCAAAATAGGTTAAATGGCCAGTGCTGATTAGTAAGCCTCCCCTCTCCCTCTTTCAATTCTAAATACTACTTTATAAACCTTCTTTCCTTATTTCTTACATAATTATTTTAAAAGAGATGCTATTTATAGAGATTATGACTCTCTCCTACAGACAGCAAACATTCAAACTAAACATGAAAAGAACTGAGATTCCAGATCTGCATCTAAATTATTCTATTGCACAAACTAAAGATCTCGTACCTGATGTTCGACATATTCCTGTAAAATCTGAAACCAGGAATTCTTAACTGAGGTTATCCCATCACTGAAGGCCTCTTTGGGTCGCCAGAGAATCTCCTTAGGAATCAAGTTGGAGTCTTCAAATGCCTCTCTCAGGAGATGTTTCTCTATCCCATTCTGACATGAAAACAGAAGAAGCATTAGCAAAAGTCATAGATGTAACCTGAGAGCAACAGGCAGTATTTACATTGACTTGATTTTACCTACTTTTGGAATTCTCATTTCTGGTGGCAGAGACAAGTAATAGGAAGAAAAGCGATGATCCAGAAATGGAACTCTCAGTTCAAGGCTTAAAGGAGAAAATTGAAAGATCTAAGTCAAAATGGGTATTGAGCACCTGTCAATTTAGGTTCAGGCTCAGAACTTCTGAGCAACGGAACCAGATTGATTAATGTTGGGATTATAGAGCCATTTCAACAACCTCCTACTGACTGTTCTACACTAACAGATGAATACAGAAATCTTCATTCAAAATAATAAATATCATTTCATCTATTGTGTGTGATTATCGTTTTGAGACTATTACTTTTACTTTCCCTTATATGAAAAGTTAAATGTATAACTTGAAAAGCAGAAAAAGTTAAGGATCATGAGTGAGCTGATAATTAAGAATGTACGTTGTTTGGAACTGACTCCAAGTTTTTTCTAGATGAGATAATTTCTTCTCTTATTAACAACTGCAATAACAATTCAGTATTTTTTAACCACTGATTAAAATTTTCATATATAGTATGCAAAAGAAACCAATGTTTCACAATATTCCATCAAATGCCACATTATCTGTGCCCTGAATTCTAATGACTCTGGTTAGGGCAGACAGAATAGGGTATTAATCATGCATCAGGCTTATTCCCTATCTCCCATATAATTATTTCCTAAACTCTATCTCCCATGTAATTATTTCCTAAATTAAGTGTGATTCAGTAGAAGAAACTAAAATATTTAACGTCAGTTGTTTATCACATAAAGAGTCGTCAATTCTCCAATGACCAGTTAAAACATGAAAACTTTAGCCAAGGGGGACGAGAACCCTGGTTTTATAATCTAATAAAACTTTCCTTATCTTTGTGCCCTTAGAGTCACTACAGCATCAAAGAGGCATGGTGGGCACTCAATACTTGTTATATGGAGTTTACAGCCTTAGCTTTTTCTAAAAAGACTTAAAAATAGTTCTAGCTGCCTTCCCTGTGGGTCAGATGTAGAATGTTATTAAACTTTAAAGACGGAAACTGTCTGAGGCAACCCACAGAAGACTCCTCCTCCCCATTACCACAATAGCACTTTGACTTCAGCCCAATTCTTGGGGACTAAGTTAAGAAACCAGTTTCATTTGTTCCATAAAAGTCATACTTAACTACATATATACCGACTGGGAAAAAAAAAAAAAAAATTGGCCACTGATCTTTTTCCATTTTTGAAGACTGTTTTTTTTCTTAAACAATTGTCAAGTTACCCGTGGGCAGCAGTAGTCCTGTCTGCACGGAGAACATCAAACAAATAGAGTTCCTTCAGAAGCCTCTCACTCTCTTCCTCAGCCTTTTCAGGAGAAGGTGCCTATTTTACAAAGAAAGAACAGAACAACAGCTTTGTTTGTGGCATACCAAACTACTTTTACTTCTCCCTTTTAAGCATATTCCAACACTAAAGGTAGGTAAGATAGAAAGCAAAGCAAGGGGAAGGACAGGAGTAAATGTCTGGTTAGAGACAGGCAATGCCTTATAAAACACACCTACCACAACTGCTAACATTACAACAGATAAAACAGATGAAGACATAGAAAGGTGATTGTAACTTTGTTCATTTTAAAGAATGAAAATCATCTGATACTATTATTAAGACTTCTTTCTTCCCCAAAGAAATACGAAACAGACACTATTGATTTCCTCATAAATTCAGAAGGTACTTAGAAAAGTCACTGCTAACACTGAAAAGGACAGATAATAGAAAACAGTCAAATGTTTCCTACTAGCACAAATGTCCTCTGCTTCAGAGTGCTCACCTTGTGGAAATAAATGTAACCCTGCGTAAGTTCATCAGATCCCTCTCCAGAAAAGATCACCACACTGTCTGTGTTCTTCCGAATATACTTGGAAATTAAATACATGCCTTAAGTAAGAAAGAAATCAATGTTAATGTCAACATAACCCTCCACCAAAAATATCTTTTTATTTGGCTTTCAGAAACAACTGCAGGTTTTACTATTATACTAGACTTTGTATTAACAGAAAATAGTTTCCAAAATAATGACCTTACACAGATAAGCCATTTATATGTACTTAATTCAAAAGTTGTACCATTGCAATAAACAGCCAGAAATCATTCTACAATTTTGTAAACAAGCTTAAAATTTCTAATGTTTTTAGACCAAGAACATATACCTTGAAATTTTGCTAAACTGAATAATATTCAAACACATAAAAATCATGCTTTACATGCTGGTATTAATACACAAAAATAAGGGTTTTACTATGATTTAGATATGTCATTTGTTCCCCAAGGGTTCATTGTAGGCTTGGTCTATAGTGTGGCCATGTGACAGGTGGTGGGATCTGTAAAAGGTGGGCATGCTAAGAGCTGGGTGGGTCATTGGAGACATCCCCGTGTAAGGGAAGGGACTGATGTAGTTCTTATGAGACTCTTAGCTCTGGGAAGGGCTAATTATTATAAAAGAGCCCTTTCCTGAGTGCTGGCCTCCTGTGTCTCCTTGTAATCTCTCGCTCTCATGCATGTTCCCACCTGGATGCAATCCACCATGAGGTGGCACAGCTGGGGGGGTCTTGCCAGGCTGCCACACTGTTTGAACTTTCAGCCTCCAAACTTCAACTTAAATTAACTCCTTTTTTAAAAAAAAAATTTAATATTTATTTATTTATGTTTTAGTTCTCGGCGGACACAACATCTTTGTTTGTATGTGGTGCTGAGGATCAAACCCAGGCCGCATGCATGACAGGCGAGCGCGCTACCACTTGAACCACATCCCCAGCCCAAATTAACTCCTTTTAAGTTATCTAACCTCAGGTATTTCATTACAGTCACATAAAATACACTAACAGAGGTAATTTAGTTTTAATTTTTTTGGACTGACTTCACCCAAGACTCCCATTTACAAATTTTATATAGTTAAGGCAGCTACATAAGTTATTGAAACATGTCTGCTTGATCCCTGCTCCACATCTTCCTAAACCAGTGTTCTCTCTCTTTTTTTCCCCTCAGGGCTGAGGAACTCAGAGCCTTGTGTGTACTAGGCAAGTGCTCTGCCACTGAGCTAAATCCCCAACCCGAGTGGTCTCTTTTAAACCTTTCTTTTAATTACCTCCCTCTCCTCAAGGGAAACTTTTAAACCCCCCCCCCCCCCCGCTAATCCTACCCCCAACCCCATTAAATTTCAGTAACACAGATAAATTGTGTATCTACTTACTCACTGTAATGTCTTAGAGGGCAAGAGATGTTTTTTTTTTTGTCCTCCAAGTTAAATGTTTTTAAAAAGAGGATTATCTAAGCTACTGTTATTTTACAGGCTTAACAACATTGGCTTTTTTTTTTTTTTGGATTTGGGGTACATTTTCTATATCAATATGTATCCATCAGATAAAACTAGCATTATTTGTAGAGCTAAATAACTGCTAGTGACTGAAGTTGTAGATGGAATATTTACCAAAATACATCTAAAGTAAGAATTCCTTAAGGAAAATAAATTACAACATGCACGTAATTCCCCATTTTCCAAAGACTAGTGTTCCATCCATGTATCCATGGGGGACTGTTTCAAGGACCCCTTCCTTGTGAATACCAAAATTCACAAATGTTCAAGTCCTTTATATAATATGGACAGTATCTGCATATAACCCCACACAACTTACTGTACACAGGCATGACTAATTTTATTATGCTTTAGCTTTATTATGATTCAGATATTTTGTTTCTTACAAACTTATTTTCCCAAGAGCTCAGATGACTATTAGCATTTTTTTAGCAATAGAGAATTTTATAATTAATGTACATATATTTTTCAGACAATGCAGCTGCATACTTCACAGATCACACAGTTCAGTGTAAATATATCTTTTTATGTACTGGGAAACCAGAAACTTCATGATTCAATTTCTAGTAGTATTTGCATTACTGAAGAGGTCCAGAACTGAAATCATAATCGCTCTGAGGCATAGTATGCCTGTGCTTTAAGTCATCTTTAGATGACTTATAATACCTAATACAAACAATGTAAATGCTATGTAAATAGTTGTTATACTATACTGCTTAGAGAATAATGACAAGAAAAAAACAGTCTACACAAGTTCAGTACAGAATTATTTTTTTTTTTTCAAATATTGTTAATCCTCGATTGGTTGAATCTAAGGATGAGGAACTCACAAATACAGAAGGCCAACTGATAGCCCAAGAAACTGCACAGTGAAACTAGAGAAACAAGAAGGAAAAAGGGTGAAAAATTGTATCCACTCTTTGGGGAAATATAAACAGTGACAACATAAATGTGGAGTCTAAACTGCGCATTTAGTATTTCCTTCACTCCAAAAGAAATCCATGGAATTGTTAAGTGATCTTAAATAATTTGCAATATAGGACTTTTGTTTGTACTCATTCTTTTTTTTTTTTTTTAAGATATTTATTTTTTAGTTGTACTTGGACTTTATTTATTGCTTTATATGGTGCTGAGGATCGAACTCAGGGCCTCAATTATGCTAGGCGAATGCTCTACCGCTGAGCCACTCACTACCCCAGCCCCATGAACTCATTCTTAAATAACATTTCTTAAACTAAAGGCCCATGTGTTGAAAGCTTGGCTCCCAGCCTGTGGAGCTACTGGAAGACAGTGGGACCTTTAGGAAGTGGGAGCGACTGGAAGGAAGTAGATGAGTGGGGTGTGCATGGAAGGAGTTATTGGGACCCTAGCCCCTCCCCTTTTTTTTCCTTCTGGGTCAGCATGAGGAGAACTGCTTTACCCTAACATGTGCTGTCTTTTGCAATGTTCTGCCTCACCTCAAGAACAACAGAGCCAACTGACTAGGAATGAAACTTTTGAAACCAAGAGCTTCAAAATAAACCATTTTTCCTTTTAAATTAATTGTTTCAGGTATCTGTCACAGCAGAAGAAAGCTAACACATCAATTCTTGAAATAATTTTTTAAATTATTTGTCTTCAGTATTAAAAAAAAAAACTTTTTAATAACAAAATATCTTACCTACTGATGCTCGAACTGTTGTAATGTCATAAGTTTCCAAGGAAAATATAACTTCATCCAGGGCCTGAATACCCTCCTCAGAGTTAAAAAGGACTTCATGATGTTCACTTCCAATATGATTTGCCACCTGATTAAAGAAATATTCAAATTCTTTTATTTAAAGGAAATAACCCTGAAAATGAAACAGATAGTACCTCACAAAACAAGATGAATTTAGTAGTGAAAAATAAACAAGGGAAAATAAGAAAAAATAATTCCCCAGGTCACCACAGTAAGAAGAAATAATTCTCCAGGCCACCACATTCAAGCCCCATGCTGCCAAGTGCCTCTGCCTGTTCCTGACCTCTCAACCACAAGAAGTAAATCTCCCATCAGCCCCTCCCACTTCAAGACTAAAACAAAAAGAGTCAAGAGGCTCCCAATTAGTATCCCTCACTCCCCACCAATTTTATCTAATCTAGTATCTTTCTCTACTTCAACGTGCTTCCACTTTGAACTTGGTTTCCTTTTTATACTCCTAAAATGTCTAATATTAGACCCTCGGTGTTATTCCTACATAGAATGGCCCTTGGCTCCTTCTATTTTCTCAGGCTGTTTTGCAATCAACTCTCATTGAGATTGATTTCTAGCTCTTTCTTATCCATTCTAAGTTCTTCCAGATCAAGAACCAGATGTCCCACACTGAATATGTACAAGCCCCCTCTGCCCATAGGTCAAAACATTATGACTTATTAAAAAGAAACCAAAAAATAGAAACAGCTAATATTCACTACTTATTACATATGCTAGGTTCTACTCCACATATTTCAAATGAATTTATATATATATATATAT